TCTAAATTTCCAGACATACTATATCTAAGCCTTTCTACGTGAAGGGTGGAAGAAAGTTCAGACAACCAGATCTTGAATAGTGGACTTGACTTTTTCTTCCAAATGCAAAGAATGGATTTTTTTTGCGATCAGCATACCATACTGTACAGGCACTCCGAAAGCGTGATTAAGATGCTGCAAGGAGGCTGACCAGCCAAGAACAGCAGTTGCAGGATCTAAAGGAAGCTCACATGCATAAGCTTCTGAAAGAAACTGAAAAACTTCTGACCAGAATTCACCAAGTTTAGGGCATGCCCAGAAAAGATGACCAAGGGAACCCTCCGCAGATTCACACTTATTGCAGAGAGAGGAAATAGTAGGATAGAAAGCGTTAAGTTTAACCCTAGAGTAATGCAATCTATGCAACACCTTGTACTGAATAAGCTGATGCCTGGCGTTAACAGAACAGGTGTATATATTTTTTAAGACATTTTGCCCAGTCTTCCTCAGAAACATAAATATCCAGTTCCTTTTCCCAATCGTTTTTCAGATGATTAGTGGAGATGTCTAACTGACTAGTGAAAAAATCTACAAATTTGTCACTGCTCTAATTTTTTATAAGATAAGAGTAGTATTTGCTTCAGCCCACTCAATATACAGGAACAGCAGTGTGCCAGCTTGTTGCTAGCAAAAGACAAGCTTTCATGGAGGGCACCCATGTTTTCCCCACTTTTGTAGCTAGAAAGCTACAAAAGTTTCCCACTTCTAAGTCTTCACTTACTTGGTCTTCTGGCTAACTAAGTTATCATCATTAATATACCTTGTTATTGTTAAATAAAATAGTAAAAATGTGATTAAATTATTATTTATTAAAATAAAAGTAGATTAGAAGAATAACTTACACAGGTAGCTTCCTTCTGGTCTTCAATTGAAAACATCAGAAATGGAGCTACAACACAAAACCAAAGAAATGTTTACTTGGCATTTATACAATGTGGAGATTCTGGCGTATTAGAACATCCGAGCAGTGATCACCAGCCTTGTTCCTGGAGATACATCCAGAGTTCAGTTTCCAACACTAATCCAGGTAAGCTGATCCAACTAATCATGCAGACGGATTTTCTGGAGCAGATGTGTGGACTAAGGTCTGGAACTGATCTCTGCAGGACCAGGGCTGGGGATCACTGCTACAGGAGGTACAAAAGGACAAGAACGCCATCGTGAGATTTAGGCTTATGCAAACATTGTGTGATGACATGTACATAACAGAGTAAATACATGTCAAATGTGTTTGGAATGAAGCTGTCTGCTTAGATTACTGTGTCTCAAGCGTTTGCTGGTTCTTCAAATGCTAATCTATATTAACAAAGAGGAGGCAGGCAGAGCCATTCTTTGAGACGAAGGAAGATTAAGGAGCTGCCACAGCAGACAAAATTAGTCGATGATGGACTGCAGATGTGACTGTTTTCCTTTAGCAGTTTCATCAATCACTGTTCAAGTGTTCAAGAGAAGCAGCCATTTTCCACATTTAACTCATATGTAATACCTTAAAAAAACAAATATGAAGAAGGAAAAATACACTAAACAGTGTTGAGGCAATTACAAGAAATATATTTCTTGTATTACAAGAGTTAGACATACACAAGTACTCAACAATCTATAAACTGAATGTGGCATGCGGGGAAAGAGAAGGGCATGCCAAATCCAGGTCTACATGTGTGATGATTATGATACTGTGTTGCACTAATGAAAAGCATATAATTAGAACAAAGCCACTTTCAGGCCAGGACAAAGTAAAAGGAGAGGCATCGCCACTGAAGAGCCATTGCAAGCAAAATCGAGGCAGTGGAAGGGAAATTGAAAAAGACTTTGGCTTTCAATAAAGTTTAAAAGATTGCAGGAGATTTCATGCAGTCACTCCGAATGCATTATTGGGTTCTCAGTCTATTGTTACTTGTTCCTCTGTGAGGTATAGTATATGTACTACGTATTGTACTTAGTCATGCTCTACTCCATTCTTTATCCTCTCTGTACACATTTCCTCTTCTTCCTAATCTTCCACCCGCTCTCTTAAAATAAAGCTGCTCTGAGTGACCCAAGCTCTGAAAACAGCAGAGTGATTGATTTCATTTCTGATTAAAAAAAGAGGTGGGGGGGATCCCAAAACAAACAAACTCTCACTCTCTCTCTCACACACACACACACACACACACACACACACGCCTTGTCATGATCATACAGCATACAAGCACATCAGGACTGCCTCACCATGGCCATGAGACGATGAAATGAAGCTGCTGTAACAGACCAGTTAACTGGTGACAGACAACATCTGTGATCAATTTATTCCAGAGGTTTCATCCATCATGCACCTCCATATTTAGGAAACATTTTTCACACTAGATTAATGTCTAATACTTTTAAAAGGAGCATCACATAAGCATGGAGAATTATCAAAATAAAGTTGGGCTAACATTAAAAAGAGTGAAGCTAGCAGGAAAAGAGGAAACTATTTAAAAAAAAAAAATTAAATCAAACGTACACATATGGCAATGTGAGCAGCTTCACACTGGTGCTACAAAAGTGTACCAAAAACAGTCATCTGAAATGTGTCATGACCTGATGCATTTGTCATCAGCACAACAGTGAAAACTGATTGCAATGACAGCAAATTATGTGACCGATGGGCAATGTGTAAATTACGAAAAGGAGGAGCCCAAGAACGGGTCCCTGGGGAATGCCTTTGCTGATGAATGGCAGCGAATTGTTGTCTGTCTGTCTCTCAGGGACATTTCAAATAAACACTCACATATACTGAGCAGGGCAGAAGAACTAAAATCAGGACTGGGGCAGGTGCAGGGGCTGTAGGTCTGCAAGATTAACTCAAATCAGGAGTCTGTTCGTAATGCAATACCCGAGTAGTTTCAGCACACATTACACTGCTCCAAGTAAATCCACTCCTTCAATTATTTTCTCAGTTTAGATGGACAGAATGAAGAAACTAAGATCATATCAAGACAGCCACGATGCAGGTCTGGCCCGTGTGAATTTCTCTGTGCACTGTGTGTGTGTGTGTGTGTGTGTGTGTGTGTGTCTAGTGAGTTACTGGCACTCTTCTAGAGAATGGACAAAAATTATAATAATCAGAAAGTATTTTCTGCCATACCTAACAAGAATACTGAGTACAGTATCTTTGACTATTTCGTATCTCCATTAAAGGTAACCAAACAGTAGTATAAACTGTACACTTACCTATCCAAGAGCTCTAAACCTGCTTTAACTCCCACTTTACATAGATTTTACATTTATGAAACGTATAGTTTCGGTTCTAAAATCTGATTATCTGTGCTGTGCTCAAAGCCGTAAAATCCCTGCTATACGCACACCTGTGGCTGCTTCACAATAATTAAATTATGTATTAATGCTCCTGGTTTTAAACCAATAAAAGCATTACCCTTAAGCCATTGTTCTGTCCATGGACAGAAGGCACTCTGCTTCACATCATACCGAAGAACACCCTCACACATGATAAATTCACTGCAACGCACACCCTCTCATGGCTTATTGCTTTATTTTAGGTGAATCAGGATCCAGATAAACTTCCACCATCTTATAATTCACAGTTAAGCTGAATCCCAAGTGACTTTCTATTCACTATATATGTATACTGACTACATAGGGTTTGCAAGATCCTTTCATAAGGCATACGACAAAGGTTTAATTAGTTTCAGAAGTCAAAGGTTTAAACAGCAAACTGAATAATGCTGAAGATCTTTTGCTTTTATTTTAGCAAAGGCCAGAAAGTGAGATTCCACTGGAAGTAGCAGCATCTCCAGCAGTTCAGAGAAACTTGAATTTCTGCACTCTCTGTGTTGTAGCATTGTACAGTTTGGACCATTTAAGAAATGGCAGCAAACCACACGGAAACTTACACACAGTGAAAAATAATATAGTAATCAGAAATATGACCGTTCAAGCCTACTAGTGTTCCAGCATCAGTTTTAAGATTAGCACAGAAAGCGCTGCATACAAGCAGTGGGTCTTAGTAAAATAATACTAATATTAATAACTGTGGAAATATCTGATATCAGAGAAAACATATTTGATATTGAATCCTGTAACAAATGGCAAAGACTGGGATTGGATTTGGAAAATATATTTATTTTTGGAAACTGGAAATGTTTCCATATAAAGAGACTAGACTGGTTTTTCTTCTTATATTTATACTTATCATATTTACTATGTAAGTGAATTTTGTGTGAAATCATTTAACTATTAACTATTTATTTAATGTGTTAAATAAAACATCTTAAAATTTAGCCATTTTAAAGAAAACAATATTGGACAGATACCAGAGAACAATATCAGATATCAGCTGAAACTCAATGTTTCAGTATCAGCATCAGAAAAGAAAAGGTGGTGTTGGGCCAGCCATATAATTACTTATATTTATTTTTATAGCACACTTAGGGTCCCTGGAGGACTAGTGGTTAGGCCACAGCGCTCTCACTGCTGTGGCCTGGGTTTGATTCCCGGCCAGGGAACCAACCTCAGCCACTGGGATTGCGTGCAATAGTGCGCTCTCAGTGCTGGTCCCAAGAACAGATAAAATTGGGGAGGGCTGCGTCAGGAAGGGCATCCGGCACAAAACTGTGCCAAATCAAATAAGCGGACCAATGATCTGCTGTGGCGACCCCTAACGGGAGCAGCCGAAAGAGGAACAACATTTTTATAGCACACCTGGCAAACTCGAGATTACTTTACAAAATCCAAGACAGAAATCAGAAATAGTTGTGGCAAAATGAAATAGAACAAAATAAAAGCATTGTATAATAAATATGAACAGCAAATTTGCTGTGGCACAAGACCACGGATAGCCTTAAAGGGTTTCTTTAATAAGGTTATGGAGTTTAGCAGGGGGTTTAGCAGGACAACTAATAAAATAATCAAGATAGGAACTGATGAAGGGAAGAACTAGTGTTTCTGCATCTTTGCTGTTGAGTAGAAGGTGGAGTCTAGCAATATTGTGAGGGTGTAGGAAGGCAGTCTTTGGTTAGTGAGCTGATAAGAGTTAACAAGTAGAACTCAACAACTATAGTCCTTCTTGTTACCAAATTTGTATGCCTGAAATACCCTTAAAATATACTCTAAACAGGAAGAAAGCTATTGACGAAAATCTATTTCATAAATAATTCCATATAAATCCAATAAAAATTCAGCCACTTGTTTGAGATATTGCGCTAACGAGAATCTCAGAAAACAATGTTTCCAGCACCGAGTGGCAGAGGCACAAAAATACCAAGAGTACAGGCAGCTTGAGAGCGTTTAAACTGGACTCCATTAATGTCAGCAGGTAACACAGGTCAGAATGGGCACTAACAAGATGGACCAATTAAAAGAACTTCTGTTTTTTCAATAATGAGTGTAAGGAAACTGGAACTCATCTAGATCGTAATAGAGAGTTGAGGAAAAGGCATACTGGGGCTATAACTGATATAGATCCAAAGGTCATCAGTGTAACAGTGAAAACTGAGGCCATGATGGTAACCAATTTTGTTATGTAACCAAGGAACAGTTAAATGTAAATTATGAAGAAAAGAGGTCCAAGAAGAGATCTCAAGGGGCTGCCTTGAGTGACCTGAACAGTGGGGGATTTGCTGTAGAATAGCAGTGAAGTGTTGTATGTCTGTAAGGTAGGACATAAACCAATGAGGGTGGTGCCAGTAATGCCAAAAGCTGAGAGGAGATGGTCAAATGTAAAGGTCAAAGAGAAGAAGAGCCCAAGTGTCAGATGCAGCAAGATGGAATGTGTTAATGACCCGTAGATGATCAATCTCAGTGCTGAAGAGGGGATGGAAAAAAGGCTAGAAATGTTCGAAAAGATAATTTGTTGCCTGCACTTGGGAGTCCATTGACTATTTCCACCAGTTTGGCAACAACAGGTGGGTTCGAGATTAGCCGATGGTTATTTATATCAGCAGGATCTAAATCGGATTTCTTAAGAACTGGTGTGACTGCAGCCGTTTTCAGATGCAATCGCACAGAGCCCAAGGCAAGCAATGCATTAAGTGACATTAGACAAGAATGCTTTAAACAGAGCAATAGAGCAATACTGGCATGTCAGAGATTGCATCACCTTTTAAGGTATTAATATTATGCCAATACTAAACACTATAATAATAAAAATATTATGTTATAATAAATAGGGCAGATGAAGAGACCAGTTTAAGTATGTGAGCATAACACTGAGCACAAAAATTAATGTTTAAAATTAAAATGTAACCATTCAAGTATGGTCATGAAGTCATAAAACAAGGAATTGGACAGTATAAACATGTACAATATAATAAAATCATCTAATATTAACAGGGCAGAGGATAACACAGAGAGACAAGAGCGAGTAGACCACAGTAGTTAAGATCACAATCAGTGGGGCTAGCTTCATAATCTTGAATACTATGCTGTATATTTGCAAATGCAGGATCATAGTTTTTAGATGACTGCGACCGACATCAGCAGGAATTCCGTCCCTCGATATCAGATGATACTTTGAGCAGGTTCATGTGTAGGTAGTCATCGCCTCTTTGCCATGTTTCAATAAGAATCAACATATCCAAATAATTGTTGGGGATTATGTCAGTGCGGCTTTTTCAGTTACGGACAATTTAACAGAACAGAACAGAACTCGGTCTTCTCACAGTAGGAGGGGTCTCTAGGGAGAATTCTGAGACTGCCGAAGTTTATTCCATGGTGCTTAAATAAAAAAAGCGGACTAGTGAATTTCCAACCTATTGGACCAGACGGTGGTGGGCAACAAACAACAGCTTGTCATGAGTGTCTATAATTCCAATCTCCTTGCAAGAACCATAAATTACAGTTGCTAAAAAGGGGCTGAGAGTTCAAAGAGTACACTTGAACATTGTGACAATCTTGTAGCTTACCAGTAACTTTGCACAAGCACTCTGATACAGGTTAACTGTTTATCCAAAGCAGGCATAGTTATAGACTAGAAAACAGGCAGTGTAGTGCTCAAAGACTTGCCAAATAAAATTCCAGACACCTCACATACACTGCTAGAACACAGTGCCTAGTAACAACTGGTGCTGTGACAGATGGACACCAAACAGAAGACTGATAGGCTCGACTGATAGGCTCGATTACCATCCATGCTGAAAAGATGTACATCACATCAGGGGCAGCCTGGCAGTAACTAGTGGACTGGCCTCTGAAAATAGCGACAGTGAGAAGAACTTAGGATATGCAAGTCCAAGAGTACTGGAGTCACTCAGTCACATCCAGGTCAGACATAGGCAGGAAAGACTTGTGCTTTGTATTCAGGTATAGTGGAGAGAAAGTGACAGTAGTGTCCTATTAAGATTTCATATAAAGTGTTGGTACTCTTCTAGAAGACCAATCTTGTTAGACTAGACATGTCTTCTGTGAAAATTCTGGGATTTCTTATGAATGAGAGCAATAAACTGAAAGAAAACAGCAGAAATTCAAAGGCGCGCTGCTTTCCCAAAAAAAAAAAAACCTAAACAATGAGAACAAACAATTTGCATCTTCTTTTCCTATATTCACTGAGATTTCTTTGGGACATAGTCAACGTTGAATTTAAAGTGATTAATATTATACTCAATTACAGCAGGGGACACAGTCATCTAATTATACTTTTATTGCTGCTTCAACAGATCATCTGGAACAAACACTTCAGAACCTGACTGTTCTTGACACTAAAGACAAAAAATAGATATAAAGCATCTAATATTAAAAATTAACTAGACATCATGCTTATTATTATTGAATAGACAGTGCATTCACTGACAGTAGCTGTGCAAACAGCGATAACCTACAATCATATGTCACAGAAAACTGAACGATAGGTTCTACACATATGCTCAATCATCCTCCATGAGTGGAAAAACTACGATTAAGGCGCAAAAAAACAACAAAAAAAAAAAACAGGACAGAAGAATACTTTTCAGCAACCACTGTAATTGGACAAGTCCCACTGAATAATCCTGCTTAAATCCAAAGTGAGTATTTCTAATGGCTAACAAGTGTGATTAAGCACACAGTAAAGAGATAAACCTCATAGTTACACTCCAAAGCCTGTTTCGTAGTCATAAATAAATCATACGAAGTAAATAATTTAAATGCAGTTAGACCACAAAAACATAGCATTAAACGAATCCTCGGTTGGTTTATTATTTTGTGAATAGAATTTAGTCTGACTAAAGTAACTAATTAGGAATCAATATTGTAACAAAATGAAGGATGTGGCATTTCAAATGCCAATGAAACACTGATGGGAAGGTGGTGACGTGCAGAAATGAAACATTAGGGAATAAGAATAAAAATACAGAGCATAAAAAATGTCAAGACCAGGAAAATGCTGTGCCTTAGAAATGCCTGATAATGATTAAAGAAATCAACCAAACTTCTTTATAAATTATAGCACAAAAATATTATGTACTAAAACAGAACTGTATAAAAACATTTTATGATGTTAGTGGTGGGACTTATCAACAACTATATGCTTTATTAATAAAAAAAAAAAAAAAAAAAAAAAAAAAAAAAAAAAAAAAAAAAAAAAAAAAAAAAAAAAAAAAAAAAAAAAAAAAAAAACACACACCCACCCACCCACGTACACCCAAATTGTGACGACTAGACGACTGGGTCAGAACATCTCCGAAATGCAGGTCTTTTGGGGTGTTCCCAGTATGCAGTGGTTAGTACCTACCAAAGTGGTCCAAGGAAGGAAAACCAGTGAACCAGCGAGAAGGTCCTTGGGTAAATTTGGGTCCTGGTATTCATGTAGAAGTTACTTTAGGGCCTTTCGCACCAGTTTAGTTCCAGAACCAAATGTATAGTACTAAAGTACTGGGCGATTTTGCGCAAACTATTTCCCAGTACCATTTAAAGGGTTGCATTCGCACCGACAGTGGGCACTAGGAAGTGACGTAAGCCGGTCGACATGGACGTCATTTGTGCGCGGCTTTCAACAACGTAAACAACCGGAGGATGGAGGACGCTGTAATCGGAGCTGTGCACTTCAGCGTCCGTCCATCTATCGCTGTTCTCCATACTTGCAAAATAAGTTGACACTACAGTATGTTTACACAGCGTTTTAAATCATGGTGGGTGAGGGCGTTTTCGTACGCGTTTGGCCAATCAACGTCTACTTACGTCATGGATAGTACCAGTTGTGCTGGTTAGACCCTGCTTCCCCCGGAGTAGGAGCTAATTTGGCTCTCAAAAAAGGCAGTCCGGTACTAAAATCGCACCCAGGTCCAGAGGTGCGAAAACGCCAAAAAAGTGGGTAGTTCCACATTTAGTTCGGGTACTATGAAAAGGTTCCCGCGGTGCGAAAGGCCCTTTTGACACATACCATCTCACTAAACTTTGTTGCAGACCAAGTACGCCACGGTATTCCTTAACGGCAGTGGCCTCTGTCAGCAGGCCTAATGCACTCTGTCACACTGCAAAAACCGTTCAGGAAAGGTTCGAGAAACATGACAAGAGTTCAAGGTGTTGACTTGGT